AGACATAGTTTCCTTAAAATGACCAAAAAAATCAAACCAAACCCACTGCTGTTGAGTTGTATCCGACTCATGGCGACCCCTCCTTGGGTTTCTGAGGCAGTATCACTACGGAAGTAGATTGCCCAACCTTCCTTCCAAGGAGTGGCTGGTGGGTTTGAACCGCCAGCCTTCTGGTTAGCAGTCAAGTGCCTTAGGCACTATGCTACCAGAGCTCCTAAAATGACAGTATTCCCCAAATTAATCTACAAATTGAATTCAAATCCTATCAGAATACCAGCTGCCTTTTTTCAGAAATTTCAAGCGGATCCTAAAATTCATATGAAAATGAAAGACCAATAATGGCCGAAATAATACTGAAAAAGAAACAACAAAGTTGGAAGAACCACTTCCTGATATCAAAACTTAACTACAGAGCTGCAGAACTCTTGATTATTTGTTCAGCAAACAGTTTGAATAGGTAAGGGGAAAGGATAGAACACTGCCATGCACCTTTTCCAGTTTTAAACCACACAGTATCCCCTTGTTGTATTTGATTGTCTGCTTCTTGACACATGTACACATTCCACATGAGCAAAATTAAGTGTTCCGAAATTCCCATTCTTCATAATATTACCCGTAATTTGTTAAAAATCTAAACAATCTAATGCCTTCATGTAGTCAGTGAAACACAGGTGAATATATTTCTTTCTGGTATTCTCAGCTTTGGGCCGAGATGTATCTGACATCAACAGGGATATATCCCTCCTTCCATGAAGTGCTGCAGCCGCTTTGGAAATCAGTTTATCAGCTCCTTGAAACGTCAACACAGAGTTATCATATGATCCTAGGTGTATAATACCCAAGAGAATTGAAAACATATGTTTACACAAAAACTTGCACACAAATGTTCATGTTGTTGTTGTTGTTGTTGTTGTGTGCCGTCGAGTCGGCCCCGACTCATAGCGACCCCTCCTTGGGTTTCCGAGGCAGTATCACTACGGAAGTAGGATTGCCCAGCCTTCCTTCCGAGGAGTGGCTGGTGGGTTTGAACCGCCAGCCGTCTGGTTAGCAGGCAAGTGTCCTAGCCACTATGCTACCAGGACCTCCTACAAATGTTCATAGCAGCATTTTTATGTATATAACAGCCAAAAAGTACACACAACCTGAAAGTCCATCAACTGATGAATAGATAACAAAGCAGTATATCCATATAATGGGATATTATTGAATAATAATAAAAAGGAATGAAATACTGATTCATGCTTGGTGAATTGTGAAAATATGCTGAGTTCAAGGAGACAAGCAAATGCAGCCACATATTTTAGAATTTCTTTATGTGAAATGGGCAGGGAGTGGGGGGAGAGAAGGAAGTGACTGCTAATGGGTGTGGAGTTTCTTTTGAGGGTAATGAGATGTTTTAGAATTAGATAGTGATGATGATTGCACAATCTTGTGAATATACTGAAAACCACTGACTTACACACTTTAAGAGTATGCATTTTATGGTTTGTGAATTACATCTGAATATTTTAAATGTTTGTGTAGGGAAAAAAAACACCCTAATGCTATTTATACCAGTATAATTTCTCAATGCAGGGATTTCTTCTGAAATATTCTTGGTAACATAACTTTCTATTAGAATTTTTTTAGAGATATTTTAGAAAGTCATTAATTTGTAGTCTTGTTCAGCAAAATTATTGCTGTTTTAAATCTGTTTAGGTTGTCTTCCCATCTTTCTGTAGCACACATTTCTGTACAGGAATAATTCATTAAAATTTTAAGCTCCTTGATAATCTATAATAAATAAATACATAAATAAAATCTTTAATATTCCTTCTCTAATTCTACTGGAAATTAGAATTTTCTTTCTGCTCAAAGTACAACTAGGTATGCATTGTGTTACCTTGTGTGTGTGTGTGTCCAGTTTTAGCTAGAGATATTCTCTAATAGCCATATGGTAACATTTTTTTAGATTAGAATTCTTATATCTTGGTTTTCATTGGAATGGTTTGTTGTTGTTGTGTGCCGTCAAGTCGGACCCGACTCATAGAGAAAAAAAAAATACGACTATGATTGCAGAAATTCTTATTTTTGTAAAATTTACATAAAAGTAAATTTTATCCATGTAAAGTCTAGGTGATTAGATTATCTGCAAAGGATATTTTTTCTGCAGCTAAATTAAAACACATAACCATTCCAAAACAATACACATTGGATTGGTATGTGTTTTAATTTAGTTGCAGAAAAATATCCTTTGCAGATAATCTAATCACCTAGTCTTTACATGGATAAAATTTACTTTTATGTAAATTTTACAAAAATAGGAATTTCTGCAATCATAGTCATATTTTTCAAAATTAATATGCATTCTTTAAAAGATTTTAGATTAGATCTTGACAAAATAGGCTTTCATATAAAAATGACATGACACTTCCTCCTTTTCAAAAATACTCAGTGAAGATCCTGAACATTTCTATTCATTGATCTTTGAAAAAACAAAAATTGATTATTAAAATTTATTACATTCAAGTATATTGCTCCCATGAATGTTCTAAAAATTTTGTCTTATTTTGGGAAGAACTGATCTCTCTGATGTTGTTGTTAGTTACTGTTGAGACAGTTTTGCCTCACGGCAACTCTTTGTAGAACAGAACAAAATCCTGCCCAGTCCTGCATCCTCAAAATCGTTTCTATGCTTGAACCTATCATTGCAGCCCCTGTGGCAATCTATCTTGTTGAGAGTCTTCCTCTTTTTTACTAGCCTTCTACTTTACCAAGCATGATATCCTTTTTCAGGGACTGGTCCCTTCTGACAACATGACTAAAGTGGGTAAGACGAAGTCTAACTACTCTTACTTCTAAGGAGCATTGTGACTATACTTCTTCCAAGGAAGATTCATTTATTCTTCTGGCAGTACATGTTTGTTTATTCAGCATCCTTCTCTAACACTACACTTCAAATGCATCATTTATTCTGGGATCTTTCGTATTCATTGCCCAGGTGTCACATGCATATGAGGCTATTGAAAATACCATAGCCTGGGTCAGCCACACCTTAGTCTTCAAAGTGATATCTTTTTTCTTTAACATTTTAAAGAGATATTTTGCAGCAAATTTGCCTATTCCATTATGTCATTTGATTTCTTGACTGCTAGCTACTTCCCTAGGTGTTGATTGTGGATCCAAATAAAATGAAATCCTTGACAACTTCACTCTTTTCTCCATTTATCATGATGTTGCTTTTTGGTCCCGTTATGAGGATTTTTTTTTTTTTTTTTTTTCTTTACATTGAGGTATAATCCATACTGAAGGCTGTAGTCTTTGATCTTCATCAGTAAGTACTTCAGGTCATTACTGTCATCAGGCAAAGTTGTGTCAAAGTTGTATCACAGGTCGTTAATGAATCTTCCTCCAATCCTGATGCCATGTTGTTCTTCATATAGTCCAACTTCTTGGATTATTTGCTCAGCATACAGATTGAATAAGTATGGGGAAAGATAAAACCCTTTCATATACCTTTCCTGATACTAAACACTTCAAAAAACCAAACCAAACTCACTGGTGTTAAGTCAGATCCAAGTCATAGAGACCCCTCCTTGGGTTTCCAAGGTGGTATCTCTACAGAAGTAGATTGCTCAACCTTCCTTCTGAGGAGTGGCTGGTGGGTTTGAACCACCAGCCTTCAGGTTAGCAGTCAGATGCCTTAGGTACTAGGCCACCAGAGCTCTCCTATTCAGTATCCCCTTATTCTGTTTGAACAATGACCTCTTGGCTGTGCACAGGTTCCTCATTAGCATAGTTAAGTGTTCTGGAATTCTCATTCTTCGACATGTTCCATAATTTGTTATGATCCATACATTCGAATGCCTTTTCATGGTCAACAAAACAAAGGTAAACATCTTTCTGGTATTGCTTTCAGCCAAGATCCATTTGACATGAGCAGTGAGTGATATATCCCTCATTCTGTGTTCTATTCTGAAACTGGCTTGAATTTCTGGCTATTTCCTATCAATGGACTGCTGCAAGTGGTTTTAAAAGAAGATAAATTTTCACAAATTATGAAATAGAAGTCTTTGGAGCGAGAGCATTGTACACAATGATCTCTTTGATAATCTGTGGAAAAAAAAGTTTATATTTCATCTCTGGTTTGTTCTCCTGGAAAATGAGGAGGTTTTTCTAGACAGTATAACTAGGTATACATTGTATTGAGTTTTTTATAGCCATCTTTAGCTAGAGATACTCTCTAATATCCATATTATAATATTTATTTAGATTAGTTGATGTTGCAGCATATACCAGGTATTAGCAACCTTTCAGAATTAATAGCTATATTGCTTATTCTTCTGGGATTAATCACTTAGTAACTATTTCACCAAGGGAAGAGTCATTTATTCAACAACAGCTCCTTATTAATTTAACTAAAATTTCCTCTATTTAATTGTTAGTTCTTTAAATCTGAGCTATTTAAATACTTTTGAGTAATTGCGTTCCTTGTTATACCATAAGGAAGGAAGGAAGGAAGAGAATTGGAACTGATAGGAACAATAGAGGGTAAGCATGTGCCATGTTACAGGTGAAAGGATGCTACAAACAAAAGTAACTTCCCCCTCATTGCTTGAATAGTAATTCAAGCACTAGTAAGTGAAATGAAATGTACAAATTGATGGCACCTGTTGATTTTTCATTTTATCAAATTAAAGTATACTCTGTAAGAGATTGCTAGGTACCCTCCTAGAAAACATAGGGGGAAGAAATGTTTTGGTTTTGTTTACTTGACGTTAAGCACAGTATTTTTAGTGGGAAAAAAAAGTTATTTTGAATAATACTAATCTTTTGTTTTCCTACACAGTATATTTTTAGTAATTGAGAACAAGAAAATATTTTACTGGTAAAATAATTGCAACAAAATGAGGTTTTTCTTTTTTTTTTTTTTTAATTTATGCCTACTCAAAAAAGAGCCTATTGTGATTTTTAATCATTATGATTAGTTGTCTCAGATTAAGATTTGGTTTGATTTACAGGTGAACAGTGTTGACCTCAGAGCTGCCAGCCATGAGCAGGCAGCAGCTGCATTGAAAAATGCTGGTCAGGCTGTCACAATTGTTGCACAGTATCGACCTGAAGGTAATAAAACTTTTGCTATTTATGTGTATTGTTTATTTAAGTTTTTAAAAGTCTTCCTCTTAACAGTATTTTACTTTTCAAACTGATTTTTCTTTCTCATTTGGTATCATTTATTAAACTAGTTTTTGCCTAGCCTGAACCTAGTTTACTATACAGGTCAAAAGTATCTAAATAAGTTATAGGAACTTACATTGAACAACTCTATCTTGAGCATGGCATCATTACTTGGATTAATTTTCAGGAATTTATTTATTTTTAATCTTGACTTTAACCAAACATACATCTTTTACAAGCTCATTCATCTGAAAAGATTAAAAACTATAAGCAAATATAGTAATATTGCCAAAGAAAATTAAGTCATCTGAATTTTTCATAGTCTTTGCAAAAACAGCAAGGAGGCCACATGTTCTGACCTCCTCTAACCCTACAAGAGGAAGACAGGATTACCAGCAGTAACCCAAGGCCTATTCCTGCCAGGCCACACATGTTGCCTCCCTCCAGCCCTTTCTCCAACCGTTCCTCC